ACATCACCCCCATCCTCCTGCTTCCCCTCATTTTACATACTGAGCATGATGTCATATGGTCTGGAATATCCCTTTGGTTGTTTTTGGTCACCTGTCGTGGCTGTGTCTCCTCCCAGTTTCCCATGCATCCTCAGCCTTCTCACCAGCGTGGCAGTACAAAAAGCAGAAAAGGTCTTGGCTCTGTGTAAGCCCCGCTCAGCAAAAACAAAAACATCTCTAGATTATCATCACTGTGTTCAGCACAAATCCAAAACACAGCCCCATTCCAACCACTGTGAAGAAAATTAACTCTACCCCAGCCAAAATCAGCACACTATTACTGAGAGACGGAAGAACCCATCTTCTGCTGCACAAGGCACTGGGCATAAACAGGCTGCAAGGAAATATGTCATCTGCATGTTAGGGGCCAGTTGCCCCATGGCACTTTCTCTCCTTCACGCTGCTCTGATGGTGCCAAGCTACTTCAAACTTACTGTAATTGGCCACTGTGCTATGGCTAACACTACCCCTGAAGTGGAAAGTGTTTTTTTATGGCATGTGTTTTCAAAATTAAATTATTATTTGTTGCATTTTGTATGGAATATGGGAGGAGGTGTTTTGTTAGTTTTTTCAAGGTTACTCTCACACCTAGAAAAATGGTATCAAAATGAATATGAAGGTAGGTATTAGAAGGAAGAGATTACAAAAGTCAGACTATATGTGAGACTTGGCACTGATTTCTGCTTGTGAACTCCTCCTTATTTTGTAATTTTGCTTGAGCCAAGTGTAGGGATCTCACCAAGCTTCATGCCTAAAAATGAGTGTGCCAAAATTCAGCATGCAAAACCATGAGATGCTTCCCTGGTAGGGAGGGATCTCAGAGTGCTTTCCTAAACCAGGACTGCAGAGAACATGATGATGAGGAAGAACAGAACACAGAATGTGGAGTCTGTCAGAGTCTAATTCCATGTAAATATCTAGTTATTATTAGTTGTTGAAGAAATTGGTGAGCTTGATTTGTGGGGATTTTGTGATGGAAATGTGGGTTTATTAGAGATGAGTTTTGCTAGATCTATAGCAGGAAACATGTGATGTTTATTTGTATCACTCCATAACATTTGTTTTTTACAGTTCATGTATTTTTGTCATGACAATACTTCACAATGGGAGAAAAAGGTGAAAACCAAACAAGCCACATAATATTTGATCATGAAGTAAAGAAAACACTTTATATTTTGTGCAGAACTGGTAACAAGCCTGAAAAGCATGAAAGTGTACCAGTGAACTGGTCCAGATGACGTGCATCTCTGAGAATAAGGTAATTCATTTCAGAATGTAATGGCTCAGTGACAGTTGTTTATGGAAGTTCATGGAAATCTGAGAGAAAGATAGAAAGAAAATAGGACACAGATCTTCAGAAAAAGAAGAAGGAAACAGAAAAAAGAGAAAATACTCAGAATCACAGTCAATTACAATTCCCTAAACCTAATTTTAAACCATCATAAAATAATGAAGTTATCATTAAAGATCCACATCTACCTGGGGGATAATGGAATAATAAGAAACTAATAAAGCAGACACCACAGTGCCAAGGTGGTATGTGTGACAAATCCTCCTGAAGAAAATTAACTGGGAACCCAAAATGCTGGGTGAACGCATTCAAATAATACAACTTAAAATTGTGATTTTTTTGCATGGCAGAAAGTGTTCTGGAAACCTACAAGGCTGCGATTTGGTTCTGTTACAGGTTTTCTGGTGTAAAACACCACACTGAATTTCAAGGCCTAAGGGCTGTCTGCCTCTTCAAGTAAAAATACCTGAATTCCCAGAGTGATGGATATGGAAAAGAATAGAAGTAGATTATAGAGTCTTACAAAATGATAGAGCAGCACAACAAATCAATGCACTTTGGGGTTGCTGGTGAAGGTAAGTTATATCCTCCGACTGCACAGAATAACTGCTCTTTATGTAATCACACCTGGGATATGGCATTAAATTGCAATACCTCATTATCCATCCTTACAAAACACGAAAGAATTTGAGGGAATTCAGATCCGAAGAAGAAAAATTATCAGACTCTTGGAAAGACTGATACACAAGGAGAGATTAAATAGCTTAAATATATAGCTTATCTAATCAATAATTAAGCAAGGGAAGGATAATGGCTTAAAAATATGTAAGAGAAGGATAATTATTTTGCATGATGCATAGTCTCAATTCAGCACAGTGCTAAAACACATGTGCAGATCCATCAGCCCTGTGAAACACCAATGTACGTAATTTCAATGGAGCTTGAGCACATACCTAAATTTAAGCATGCAATGAAGTACTTTGATTAATTCAGGCCATAACCACAAGTAATGGTATGAAATTAAGAAATGCAAAAATGTAGGCTGAACAGCAAGAAAATCTTCCAAACGGTGAGATATATGAGGCTGGGGAGTAATCACTCAAGGGAATTGGTGGAAACCTTATCCCTGGACAGCTTTCAAGGTTTGCTGGACAAAGTACTGGGAAAAGATCCTTTGGGGAATAATCTTGCTGTTGCCTCTGGAGACAACTGCACGACCTATTGTAACTATTCTGTGTCTAAGTTTTTCTGGGCTGACTCAGAGCACTACGCCTCAGACACAATTTTAAAGAGCATCAACAGTGCAAAATCTGAAGCTCTTTCTTGCCTCCCCCCCAATTTATCATTTCTTTCCCCCATCTTCATTATACGTAATGTTATGAGAGGAAAAAACCCACCCCCACCACACTTACAGCCTAGCGGTTTTTTGTCTTCTATTCACTGACTAAACACTGATTTCATTCTCACCTCTGTATTAAAAGAGAGCTTAAAGATATATAGGAAATCTAATTTCAACTTGTAGGGCTTTGATTCGTTCCCAGAGGATGTGTGGTGAATATTATCAGACAGGTAATCGTATCTTTGAGAATCTCAAATCTCTGAGCAAACCAATGGAAGCAGTATTAAAGATTTGGGGGTTTTGGTGGTTTCTTTTTGTTGTTGTTGTTTTGTTTTGTTTATTCTTCCTTCATGCAGATCCTGGAAAAAGGGCTGTTCCAAAAAGGACTTTCTCAGGGATGGAGCCCTCTGAGGGCTTTTCCCACTGATTATAACAATTTTGGTGAGCCAAATGAGATGCACAAAGCACACTGGCTTTTTAATTACTTTAAAATCTACTTTTTCTTAAAGTAAACATTTGTAGAAGAACATGCATCATTCACTTGGACTTTTGGGGGTATTTTGCAGCCTTGTGAAAAAGGATGGTGTTCTCTCACATGACTTTGCAGATATCTCCAGGAAATGGAACAGTTGAGATAGATCTGTCAAAACTTTTGGATTTCCCTTCCCTGACCACAGTTGACATTCTTCCTTTATTTTTGCAGTGTCAGTGAGATAAACCCTGAATTTACTATTGGGAAAACAGCGTTTATATTTGTTGGTGCTAATTTTCCACAGCACATCAATGCATCCAGAATAGCAGTTCTTAACCTTAAATGCACATTTCTATGCCTGCCTAACTAGAAATTCAGCTAGGAACATGTGTGAGCATCTTCCTGACTCATGGTCTGAGTTAACAAACAAGATTAATTAATTTCTTTATCCCATTGAAAAGGATGGTCTAGCAGGTCTCCATCATGGAGGATCCTTAAGAGTTTGTAAAGGAAAAAGCTGGGTCCGATAAAAGCTGGGCAGGATAATAAACTGAGTGGATCTTCCATTGAACTTCACTCAGGCAATTAGAAAACTGCATTCCTCTCCCTCTCCCTCTCCCTCTCCCTCTCCCTCTCCACTCCTTTCTCTTTTCTCTCTTCTTTTTCTTTTATTGTTCTGTTGTTAAGAGTTTTTGTTTAGATCCTTATCTCAAAAACTAAAAGCAAACAAACAATGTGGTTTGTGAGAGAAGTGTTTATCATCTTCCAGCCAAGCACCATTATTTCCAGAGGTTCCTTGTAGGCATTTAAGATAACAAATGTTAAAACAGAGGCAGAGTCCTTGTCCTCTTTCCTGGAGGTCCCTGGCTCTCTAGAGATGAGGGGGTTCACATTTCCCACCTCCCGGGGATCCCAGGGCAGGGATGGAGTGTGTCCCCCTGGCCCCAGGTTGATACCAGGCTGCCCTGCACCCCATCCCTGTGACGGGCAGCAGGGAGAACCTCTGCATCCAGTAGGGAAACTGTGATGGGCTGCTCGGCTGAGGGTAAAAAGGGGCCAATCGTGAGATGGGAAATCTAGTGAGGAATGGGTCCGTGCTGGAAATACAACCTGCAGTTAGCTTTCTGGAAGGGTAGTAGTAGGCAGAGCAGACCTTCGGGAGGTGAGAAAACCAAGCAGGTGATGGTTCTGCGCCGCCAAGGCAGGCTGCAATTGGCTGCTCGGACGGGGACCAAAAGTCCAAGCGGCCAATCGAGAGGGACGGGATCCAGTACGGAGCGGTTCCGTGCCCGGCAGGCGGGCTGGGATTGGCCACCTGGGCAGGAGAGCCGCGGGCAGGGCGGCCAGTCGGGCGGTGCGGGATCCCCTCGGGAGGGGGCGGCGGGGCAGGTGTTGCCGGGGGCGCGGGGTGAGGGGCGGCTGCGGGGCAGTGCGAGCGCGGCGCGGTGCCGGCCGGCTGCTAGGTGGAGCCCGCGTCCGCGCAACCCAGATCCGGCCCTCGCCGCTCCCCCGCCCTCGGCTCGCCGCCCGCCCGGCTCTGTGCGGCCGCCGCCGGGCAGGGCAGCAGCGCCGCGCCGCCCGCCCGCCGCCGCCTACTCCTCCTCCCCGGGCCCCTGTTCCCCGCTCCCGGCCCGGCCCTGCGGGGACACGGGTGCTGCGGGTCCCGGAGCCCCTCCCTCCCCGTGTGCGCCGTGCCGAGCCGTGCCGGGCCATGGGGCCCCCGCGCCCGCTGAGCACCGCGCGGGGCGCGCCCGCCCAGCCGCCCCTCCGCGCCCGCGGAGCCGCCCCTCTGCCCGCCCGCCCGCCCGCGCCCAGCCGGGGCTGGCGGTCTCCGCAGCGGGAGGAGGAGGAGGAGGAGGAGGAGGAGGAAGGATCCGGGGTGTCGGCGGAGAGCGCGGGGGGCTGAGGACCACCCGCCTCCCTCCGCGCGGGCGCCTTTGTGTCCCCCAGCCCCGGCGGAGCGAGGGGCCGCGGGCAGGGGAGCGGATGCAAAGAGCGGCTGGTGCTGGAGGGGAGAAGGAGAAAGGGGGATGGTGGAAGATTTCTCTCCTTTTTTATTTTTTTTTTTTTTTTGGTGGTCTCTTCGGCAGCGGCTGTTCTTCCCCAGCAGCAGCAGCAGCAGAGGCGGCAGCAGCAGCAGCAGCAGCACAGGCAATGACTCTGCCGCATCCGAATTGCCTGGCCGGTGGTGCCGGCTCCGGAGACATCACCTTGCTCTGAAGTTGCCCACCTGGAGGAGGTAAATCGGAGCGGGGCTTTCGTCCAGAGGGGTCGGCGACAGCAGGGAAGAGGAGGAAGCGATCGCCTCCCCCATCCCCACACACCCTCGTCCTCCGGGAGGAAGCTTGTGTAGCAGAAGAACACGGCAGAAAAGGAGAGACTTGTACTTCTATTTTTTCCTTCTTTTTTTTTTTTTTTAATTTTTTCTTCCTTGAGGGACGTTCCGTGCTTCTCATCCCCCTCTTTTCCTGCGGGCTGGGGGCTTTGGTACTGTGGCCAGGTCTGCTTCCTACTCCCACCCCTGGTTTTAATGGCTGGATTGTGGCAGCAGCTCCCTGCTGCAGGTTGTTGAGGATCTGATGGGGACTCGCATCTCAGGAGCCGGAGGTGACTAAAGGTAACTAACCACCCAGCGGATGGATGCTCACCAGCCCTTGCCTGGCCCTCAGTTGCACCCTTGCCCGGCTGCGTTGGGCTGAAGGGTGCCGGCCGCCCTGAGCGCTCGCTTGGATTGAATTATTCCATGATAACGGTAGTTTGCCTTCAGGGCGGTTGGATCCTCCAGGTAACGGGAGAGCATCTCTCCGGGTCTGCATGGTGCGGGAGGGGGACGGCACTGGAGACGAGGGTTGTGCGTCTTGTTGGGAAATGCCTTGTAGGCTCTAGCCTGGTTTGGCCGTGGACGATTAGCGTGGCAAAGGCAGTGAGGAGATGGAGGGGACCTGGTAGGTTTTGTTCCTACTCTCTCTTCTGTTTTTCTGTGAAAGGCACCACGTTGGACCGGTGGGTTTGCTGGTGTTACGCTGAGAATTCCTGAGTTTCATTGTGTCCCTCCACCCCTTCGCTGTTCTACGTTTCTGTTTAATTGCTGAAGGGTGCCTCGAGAAGCAGTCGCTTTCCTGGATATCAGGGGCCACGGGTGGGGGAGATGTTGCCGAATTGGGGGAGTGCGCTGGGGAGGGGGGTCGCCTGTGCGTTGGTATGAGGTGGTGGGGTGGAGGTCCTGCACCCATCCGGGGGCCCCGGGTTACAGGTAGGAGCGAGCTTCGCCTTCCCGTGCAGCCGGAGAGCGGAACGTACGGCGTAGGTAGGGATGTGCAGGGCTTCCCACCTCCTGCCTGCGAGGTTCCCTTTGCCTGCTCTAACAGTATAGGATTGGCGTTCGCCAGAGGGTTTTTTTGAGCAAGGGCCGATATGTATGGCTGGAGGAAGAAAATCGCGGTTTTAATGCCTTTTTTTTTTTTTTTTAACGATTTGTTTATTTGCTCGCTTAATTATTTATTTGTGTTCCCCTTGCAATTATCTTTTGACGGCATAACTTGGAAAATACGGTTATAAGGCTGATGGTTGCTCCCTGCCGTCAGCAAGAGAGCAGCCCGTTCCTGTTTCCCAGTCTACGAAGCTTACATCGAGCTGGTGCCCGTTATTGCTAATGAAGATGTAGGTATAGTGCCCCAGAGATGTTCCCTGGGTGTTTGGGGGAGTGCCTTCAAGGATGAGTTTCATCAGCAGCCTTGTGTCCGGAGTTGTCCGTGGAAACAACATTGACACCCCCCCCCCCCCCCGTACATTTAGTTGGGTTTTTTACACCCACCCTTTCCCCTGTGGATAGGCAGATGTTTAGTTTTGCTTGAGGGATGGCGAGGTAAGAAAAGAGCCTCTCTTTCTCTTCCTTTCCTGATAGGCATGAGATTCTTCTCTGCGGTAGTTAAAACAACTCGTATTATGGCCAAAAGCAATGTATTGTTGTCTGCTTGTCAACTGTAGCGTTCATTATTGCTTTAGCCAAAACAACCCATGTCTATTGTATTTACTTTCCTGTTTAGATCACTCATTAGGAGTTATTGCCATTTCCACTCTCACAGTTCTGGTTCCAGGCAGCCAGCTGCTTAGACAAGGCTGAGATGCAAGGAAAAGGGTGAAAATGCCATCTGTTTCTTGATACAAGGCAGATAGGTAGTCTGCTGGTTGCAATTGCTTTCTGTATTATAGCCCTGATTATTCCAGAGTGTAGGAACAAAATTTTCAAAGGTGACCAAAAAAAACCCAAACCGCCTTCCCTGGAGTTAAAAAGAAATAAATTCCATTTTCATTGTGGAATGCTGTCTCTTAAGAACACAGCCAATGCTGCCTGCTTGGTATTGAGTAGTAGCATGTGCTTTGTAGAGCTCATTTATCATCATTTCCAGGGGTTCTCAATATGAACAGGCTTCTACTGTGTATTCATTAGGAAAAATTCTTTCATGGAGTTTTTTTATAGGGGTAAACCAGGTGTTGCAGGTTAAAATGGGCTGCTGTCAAAAAGTCAGCAGTCGTCACTTGAGAATACCAGATCAGGAAGGGAGAAAATCTGTGCACCCACACTGATGTTGGGAGACAAAGTTCAGGTTAGGGCTCCACCATAAAGCTGAATTTTTTTTTCCTAAAAAAGCTGTATTTTTTACTTAAAGGTAAAACAACTGCTCTGAGGGAACAGGCGTCAGTCACCCTTGTTATGGTTGAGGTTGCTTCTATTCCTGCTCCTTAAGATTATTTTTTCCTTATTTAGGCTTGGTTTATATAAAGTGACTGTTATCTTGTTACCTGCTAGCAAAAAATAAAGTGGATACCAAATCTCTATTTCCAAAAGGACTGAAGTCTTTATAAAACTAGTCTTGACCTGTGAGTTCCATATAATTTCTATTATTGAATAAATATGTATTTTCCCTTTTCCTCCTGGGGTGGTTAGGAGAGGGTATGTTTAATTTAACATTTATTCCAGAACAAGATAAATGGCAGTGTAGATTGATGATAGTGAAAACGCCGAGTCCTGCTGTATGGGGCAATGAGATTTTAATGGTATTTATTAAGTTTAAGGCTACAGAGTCCTCACTCAAATGTTTTTTGTGACAACAGTGGGACCTAGGGGTTTGGTTTCTCGGTGCCCTCCGGGAAAGAAGTAGTTTATGTCTCAGCCTAGGAAATTTAAATTCATGCCTGAGCACCTGCCGGGTCCATCCCCTCCTTTGTTTGCTCGGCCGTGCATCCCACAGGTTGGGCTGATGCCATGGGGACCACGTCCCTCCCAGTCGGGGTTGATGTGGCAGAGGTGCTCAACTTGCCTATCCAAGCATTAATTGCAGAAAAGGCTTTTTGCTCCTTCCTGAAACAGAAAACGAATTGCCCTGCCTGCTGTTGCGAAAAATGAAGCCCCTGCTCTTTGCTAGGTGGGAGGGAAATGCAAGCAGGTTTGTAGGTGAAGATGCAGGCACATAGATCCAGCCAGCTGCCTGATGAGCTGGGTGTCTGCGTGCTCCCCAGCATCGCAGGGCTGTTACAAAAATAAATAAATAAATAAATAAATAAATAAATATTTAGAGGCAGGTAAGCCAGGACTGAAGAGGAATATGCATGACCTTTAGCTTTAGACAACACTCAGTTGGAGGGCCTGATGGTGCTGTCAGGGTTTTCACATTCAGAGCATGAGTGTATGCATCATCAACATGAATAAATGAGATGCACACAGGAGAGTGAAGTCTTTGTAAAGGGAGAAGTCCTAGGAACGGGTGATTTATTATTACAGATTTTAATACTAATAGTGTTGGGACTGGTGTAGATTGACTAGGAAGCTATTTAATGCGTGACACAGTATAAAGGATGGGCTAATGATTGATGAAAGTGATGGAATTCAGGGAGCAAGGATGGATCAAGGAAAAGCTAAAACATGGAGGAGGGGCACGAGGATTTCTATGCTTTAAATAAGTTCACATTTTTTTTCTGTTATGATTATGTTACTTGGTGGTTGTGGAAACAACCCAACACTATGACTGGAGTGATTTTGATAAAAATTCTTACACCTTAGAGCATTCTTGCACGTCACAAGAGGTTTGGAAGAATATCTCAAAAGAATTTTTTTTTTGGAGCAGTGATCATCTGAGAGCTAGACATCACAATATTGATTTATTACTGGGGACAATACTGAGACATCAGGATAGCCCTGCAAAATAAAGATGCTTTTTCTTGCCATGTTTGATGATGGACTGCTTATTGGGGTGGGATGCACTTGGTGAGCATTGATGTTTTCAAGAGATGTTTATTGTAGTTCATTTGGACTCCCAGTACTTCCCTGCTGGTCCTTTTCTCATCCAGTAGATGCCCTCCTGCTGGGATGTGAATATGATGAAAAGTCCACCATGTTGTCAAATTTAGAGTGTACATACACACTTGAGTCCTTGCTATGTCTATAGGCAGTGCTTTCTGTTGTCTGTAGGATGGAAAGCTAGAAATTGTGTCATTTGCACCAGTTCACTGTGCTTTGGTGTATTTGTAGGAACATACCTGTTCCAGCAAGGCAGTCTGACATGCTGGCCTTTGACTGCATCATCTCCTGGGGTCATGTCTGCCTTGCCAAATGTTTGTCACAATCCTCACCAGCACTGAATATCAGGATCTTTAATCCCTACTTGAGACGCTTGTGAATATGTCCTTGTTTCCGTAGGCACTGAGATGCTGTAGCACTCCCTGATTTCATTCTGGTGCCTACTGTCAGTGGAAGCTCCCAGAGCAGGCTGATGAAATAGAAGGAGAGCTTTGCTTTTAAGCATCTACTTTTAATTCTTAGCTACTTTAATGGCAAGGAAATCACCTCCTACTCAAATCTGTGATGTGATTCTATCTAAGACATTATCTCACTGCCTGTTTTTGGCCTCCAGGTTTGCAGTGTAATGCTTGTATTACGTTCCTCGCTAGATAATCTCTACACTGCAGACTGAAATGCATGTGTCTCCTGGCTGTAAGCTAAGCATTCATTTTTGAGGCAACTTCTCTAAGGACACCTTGACACTATAGCTTTCTCTTCAGCAGTCTTTTGTGAGAGCCTTCTGGTTTTGCCTGTAAGGCAGGTGTTTTTATAAGTCATTGCACCAAGCATCTGTAGCTGTATCAAGGTGGCTAGTCTTTTCAGGCAATGAAAACTTAGTTTTAATTGTGTTATGGACTACTGTTTTACTCACTAAGCAGTGCTCAATGTGGGATTTTTTTCAGCCTGCCTGAAACCTGTGTGTTTTCCTCTGGCTGAGATGTGAGCACTACACTGTTTTCAAATGGCCTTTGTCTTTCTCTCATTTTTTTCTTTTTTTTTTTTGCTCCCCTTTTCAACTTTTCATCTCTACTTCTTGAAGCCCACTCTCATCCAAGGGATGTACCACTTCATCTGTGATGGAGTTCCCTCTGTAGTCAGTGGAGCTACTTGTGTAGGCTTCCCTGTGAGCAGAAGACGCTCAAGAATCTCAGATGTGTTATCTTCTCAAAAGAAGCTCCAGAATCTCAGATGTGGTATCTTTTCAAAAACATTCCCTGGCTTCATCATCAGGTTTCTACCAATTGTGTTGTAACGTCTTTGCCAGAGGTGGCATTTCA